TGTAACTATCCACAAGGAGAGATTAACCCCCGTTTTGTTCAGTATTTATTTAATTGTTGTTCTTATTGGTGATGTGAAGAAATAATAGGTGAGTGAAACCACTCCAGCTCTGAAAGTATTCGACGCTGTACCCGCCGGGGGAAACAGAGTAAGAGGAAGACCATCACTCCGTTGGAAGGACCAGGTGGAGAAAGCCCTGGCTACGCTTGGAATATCCAATTGGCGCCACGTAGTGAAAAGAAGAAACGACTGGCGTGCTGTTGTTAACTCGGCTATAATCGCGTAAGCGGTGTCTACGCCAATTAAGAATAAGAGATTAAATAAAGCCTGTATTTTGTGTAACTATCCACAAGGAGAGATTAACCCCCGTTTTGTTCAGTATTTATTTAATTGTTGTTCTTATTGGTGATGTGAAGAAATAATAGGTGAGTGCACTTTTATAACATGGTTGTTCAAGTCATACAGAAAATATTGGTAAAAGAAAGTTAAGTGTAGAGAAATCTAGAAATCTTCTAATGTGAGTGACAAAAAAAAAAGTGAAATAGAAAGTGCGGTCACCCAATTAACCAAATACAAGTGCAGTGAAGTATATATGTACAAGTGCAAAAACCAAAGGACACAAGGTAAAACGAAACAATGAAAACTAATACAAAACCAACAACGTCAGAAACAACACAACAATTCAAATTTTATTAGCAAAATCAAAACGGGCGCGAAACTTAAAAAATCATTTAAATTAATATAATATATTATAATAAAACTAAAGCTAAAAGAAACACCAACACATCGGAATGGCGGAATAGGAGCGACTCAGCAACAGTAGGACACCAGAAAGCATACACTCACCCGATTCTCTCATAGATATATACATATAAGTATTTACATCTCCCAAAACCCTTGAAGAAAATCAAAGTGAGTGTATCCATTACACATTTGATTTTTATCATTATATACATAATTTGTATGTATGTATCCGTTTAATAAAAACGGTTGGTGAAACCTCATTTACCGATATGATCGCAAAACATTACGGGAAATGATATATATATATATATAAATAATTAAATTATCTAAGAACATTGGTTAAAAAAATTAAATATTTCATAGTAATTACCTTTGTACATACATACGAATATTGAAAGTCCAATTTGCGATTTCCGAACATTTTCTTGTTCCTTGTCAATACAAACGCGAGCAATAAAAGCGATAAGCGCATTCTTAAATTCTTTTTCGGAAATATGTAACAGCTCTTATTTATTGAAAAGAGTTTTCGATACCACATTTCTCTATTATAATAAAGTATACATTTTCAAAACACAATAAAACATACATATATATTTTATTAATTAAAATTTTCTGAATGAGCACAGATTCAAAAGAATCTAAAGCAGAATTCTTAAGAATTCCAAAATTAATTACTGATGACAAAAGTCCATGTACACCTGCAGCAAATACATGCTCGAAGCACGGTGCTGCCGAGCAAAATAGGGGGAAGACATTTCGTATATTAAATTCATGAGAGTGACAGCTTAATAAAAAACTGAAATCGACTTGCATTTTCACCGATTCAGTACAACTCTGAATCGGTACTAAAAATAAAAAATAAATCTATTGACAACTTTTGGACACGCCTATCAGATCAATTAAAACTTATAAAGTCAATTACACGTACCCCCAACAGTAGAGTAGAGTTGCCACAATTGCAAGCCCAAGAGGCAAGTTCAGGCATTCATCTCAAAGTACCAGCATGTGATGCGGAAACATCTCATGGATGTTATGAACAATGGCCGTCCTTCCGGGACTGTAAACATGTGTGTGTGTGTGTAAACATGTGCTGTGTACATAAACCATCCAAAATTGCAGAAATTGTATCACCTCCGATACAAAACTAAAGGTCAAGCAGGCGTAAAAGCAGGCAGTTCGCATTAAATGAGGTTAATTTCAATTTAGCTTGGGAAGCTCTAAGATGCAGATACGAAAACAAAAGAATATTGGTT